TCGCACAGCGCGCCGGTTCACGAACAGAGCACCGAACATAGTTCTACATGCGTTCTAAAGAGTTCCGAAAAGTTCTAGGGATAACCCTGCTACATCAGACCATTCTACGAACCACTCCGCGCCAAAGTACTTACCATGATGCAACTAACGATGCAAGAATATAAAGTTAACGTTCAAGAAAATTAGCTAGAATTTAAATACTAATACGTCATCGTCTATCGTTTCCGATTTAGAAAGTTATAACTTTTAGTTTTGACTGCATCCAAGAACTATTCAACTAGCTAGTTCAATATAACTCGCCACGAGTGATACTTTTAAATATAAGTCAGATTTCAAAATTCGAGAAAATCATTTTGGAAGTTTTCACTTAGGCCTAAATAGCGGCGCTAAATAAGATCGTAACACCGGGGTGTTATAGCGGCATGGCTGAGTGCAAGCCATGCATGACTCCGATGGAGGAGCGGCTGAAGCTGACAAAGGCCAGTACCGCGGTGAAGGTGGATGCAACACTCTACCGGAGCATCGTCGGCGGTCTGTGCTACCTAGTCCACACGAGGCCAGACATTGCGTTCACCGTGGGCTACGTCAGTCGCTTCATGGAGGATCCCAGAGAGGATCACTAGACTGCGGTGAAGCGGCTACTGCGCTACGTCAAGGGAACGGTAGATCACGAGATCATCTTCCCAAAGACCGACGAGAGTAGGCTGCAGCTCACTGTGTTCAGCGATGCAGACATGGCGGGGGACATCGACGGGCGACGGAGCACCTCTGGCGTGCTCGTCTTCCTTGGGTCGGCCCCAATTTCATGGCCGTCGCTGAAGCAAAAGGTGGTGGCGCTATCTACGTGCGAGGCAGAGTACGTAGCGGCGGCCACAACGGTGTGCCAAGTTGTGTGGCTACGCCGGCTGCTGGGCGAGCTAACCGGCGTGGAAGCTCACCCACCAGCACTGATGGTGGACAACCAGCCCGCCATCGCCCTCACGAAGAATCCGGTTCTGCACGACCGGAGTAAACACATCGACGTGAAGTTCCACTTCCTCAGGGACTGTGTCGATGGAGGGCAGATCGTCATCGAGTTCGTCGAAACTGGTCGGCAACTCGCGGACGTCCTCACCAAGCCGCTTGGACGACTTCGACTCACAGAGCTGAAGGAGATGATCGGCATGGAGGGGGTACAAGGGTTAGCAGTAGAATTAAGGGAAGATTGTTAGCTAAATCTACTGCTACCTTGTGTGAACACAGCAAGGGGAAGGCGGCGCCGAAAAGGCCCCCTGCTGTGATGCTGTAGCCGCTGCAGGTGCAGGCGCCGAACTCCTCACCTGCAGCACTGTAGGCACATGCAATGGCCGGCGCAGAGTCAGTCATGTATGTTATCTAGTCACTGTTGCAGCAGGGCAGTATACTGGGACTAGATAGATAGAGTTGTATAAATAGACTACCACGGCAACTCAGTAAAGAGAGCTCAGATTTGTCATCTCACAGACAGGGCTTCGGCCAACGCTGGTGTCTTGTATTGTGCGTGCATGCTCTGTTCTCCCTTCTTCTAGCTCTAGCCATAGTGTGTGGGGACGGACAACGCTTGCTCGTGGTCGGCATGGCTAGTGGGTGCTCGGCAACACTAGCGGGTGCTCGGCAAGACTGGTGAGTGGTTCACTCACCTGAGCCGGTGATCCTGTGGGCCAACACTTATCAGGCACTATCCCTTGGTCAACTAGTGGTCTTGAAAGCCTATAGGAACTTGATATATCAGGCAACAACTTCAATTCAGAACTCCCAGCATCTGTTGGTGAGCTAGGCAATTTCAATGTCCTGATTCCAAGGAGTGCAAAGCTAATAGGGAGCATACCAAAAGAACTTGGTAACTGTAAGAAGCTTACTCTCATGCATCTATCCTTCAATGCCTTCACTATTTCTATCCCCAAAGAACTTGCAGGTTTAGAAGCTATTGCCCATTTTGCGGTGGAAGGTAACAAATTGTCAGACTGGATTCCACATCATGGCTCACTTGATTTGTCACATAACCGGTTGACTGGTTGTATCCCACTGACGATCAAGAATTATGTTATTCTTGAGGAGGTACACTTGCAAGGTAACTTATTGAATGGATCTATTCCTACAGAGCTTGGTGAGCTAAAGAATCTTAGAACTGTTGATCTCTCGATTAATGCATCAGTTGGACCTATGCCTTCTTGGTCTGCGCCATTGCTCTCCCTACAAGGCCTTTTTCTTTCTAACAACCACCTAAGTGGCAATATTTCTGTTGAGATAGGCCACATTATTCCCACCGTTGTAGTTATAAATTTGTCTAGTAATGCATTTTTGGCTATGCTACTCCAATCTTTACTGTGCAGCAAGAGTCTGAACCGTCTGGATGTCAAATAACCTCTTTGGTGAAATCCCATTACCTTGTCCTGGTTATGAAGAACCCTTGAACTCACTTGTCTTCTATAGTGCAAGCAGTAACCATTTGTCAGGGTGCCTAGATGGTTCTATCTCAAATTTCAGGCAACTATCTACTCTTGACCACAACAATAGCCTCACCGGCAGCTTGGCATCAACATTGTCCAATCTTAGTTTTTTGAACTATCTTGATCTCTCAAATAATGATTTTAGTGGTTCCATCCCTTGTGGTATTTGCCAATTATTTGGCATCACATTTGCCAACTTCTCTCATAACCACATTGGCAGGCATAACTTTTCAGAGTGTGTTGCGTCAGGCATTTGTGCTCCTAGTAGTATCAATCATAAGGAGGGTCACCCACATCATGTAATTTGAAGAGCAGTGACCATTTGTGCCACTGTTTCAATTGTGATTCTTCTGGTGGCTTATGTGGGATGTAAGCTATTAAGAAACAGGTCATTGCCTCTTGCACCTGCTAGTGAACCCCAGACTATAATTGAGCCCACCTCAAGCTATAATCTCTTAGGAAAGAATTCATGTGAACCTTTGAGTATCAATCTTGCTACATTTGAGCGTGCACTACTGAGGGTCACCGTAGATGTTCTTAAAGCTACCAATAATTTTAGTGGTGCACAGATCCTAGGCCATGGTGACAATGGGACTGTCTATGGAGCAACACTCCCTAAAGGATGGAGAGTTGCAATCAAGAGGCTTCATTGTGGCCACCCGTATATTGAAAACAAATCGTAAAAACCTGATAGGTAGCAATGAAATGCTTCCTAGATCATCCCACACTACCATAGCAATCCGAGTGTGGACCAAGATGTCATTTGGAGGCAAATTCAAAGTTTTAATTAGTGGTGTTATCCTAAATAGAAAATGGTAAATAGTCGGTCACCTCATGTTTAGTCATTGTTTGGACTAAATGGCTCACTAAATGGATAACGACCGATTAAATAGAAATGGCATACTACTATTTAGAGTTTACATGGTGTTTGCATGGGCTAAATGATCATTTAGAGATAAATAGTGTTAATTAGTAATGGATCATCCTTTGCCTTACCATATGCTCCAACCAGGAAGCACCCTACAAGTTCTTGAATTCTTTGATAGAGAAAGAACTTGCTCAAATCAAAACTTACCAAGGTAACTTTACTGTTCACAAATGAAGCCACAACTTGATGAAGGTGTGAAAACTTATCCATAACAACCCTGCATAACCACTAAGTATATCAATTAAGAAATGTGCTAACTCCTCAAGCACTAGGAGTAAACGAAACATGAGAGGATACCCCTCCCCCAAGTTCATCCACCTCCGACAATGCACCTTTATCTCCGTTCAGGACCTCCCAAATGGAGCTAGTCTCTTTCAACCACTTACCATCAGCAAAGACAACCACGCACGACAACAATGGACTTCCATTAATTTGATTTCTTCCCTTGCAGAGGTGAACTTGAACCTTTCACAATTTTTTGCAGCACACTACATGCTTGGGTGCTCATCGAGCAACTCTTAGCCGTGTAAGAGGCTTCACCTCCAAAGTTAACAAATCCTTTCACGAAGTGTTTGATGAATCCCACAAGTGCTCTCAAGGGGTAGGATTTGCTCTTCTTGTGTTCACATACCTCGAATATCTCAAACGAACACATTTTTGGGTCGACCCAGTGACCCAAAATATTTTGAACTTGCATCCCTAGCCGCTACGTACCATGGATATAAGCACACACAAACGCGGTCTTGTTTCGGTGCTGTAAACTAGCAGCAACTTATTATAACGCAAAGGATTACACCACCATGTCCATGCCCACCTGGGTGGACAACATGTATGTATGCACGGCAATCCCTCTTCAAAGCGAATGCCATCCCAGACGCCAAGAGACGTGCCGCCTGCCGCGAGGCGCTTCCGATCCATGTGAACGACACACACATCGGAGCTCTGCATGCCCACAGTCGCACAGGGGCTCGGTTATGCACACAGACACAGCTAGCTAGCTAACAGCCTGAATAAGCTAACACATGTGCTCACACACTAAGCGCTAATTAAAAGAGTTACTACTAACACAAAGCTTTGTTTCTGTTTGGCTTGGTGCCTTATTATTCTCTGCCCTAGCGCATGCATGCGGCCCATCTGCCGAGTTGTCCGCTTCAGATGGCGCTGTGAAAGCTGAAATAGTTGTAGGGGTGTAGTGTGCTCCAAGCTCATCTCGAACAAAGACAGGCTGCAAATCAAAAGTCACAAATGATAAGTATACACTGCTGTCCAAGGTAGTATAGGTTACAGTTTAAGCACCAATCTTTGTATGAAAATTTGAAGGTACAGGTTTCTAACACTCGAACAATCCATAGATCTAAGCTTATGCGATTGCATATTTTGAACATGCTGCAGACTGCATTTATATATCAAGGTTAATATGTTTTAAACTTTTGTTATATATACGTTATTGTTAGCTATCATTGTAAAACCACAGAAAGACAGAAGAGAACTGAATCAGGTAAAATGTTGCATGAGTTTAGAGTGTTTAGAACTGGTAATAACTTATATGAAGCACTTAATAAACAAAACAAAAACATACCAGTAGGCACCAGTGCATGCCCAGATCATGGCTGCGCCACAAATTGCTGGAGGTTGTGAGATTCATGTTTCATCAGCTGGACCATCTTGAGTCCCTTCACCACCTCCACCATGGTCGGCCTCTTCGATGGCTCGTCGGCAGTGCAATCCTGAGCAATGGCAAGCACGCGAACCATCTGTTCATGCCACAGACCTGAAACGGGCAGGCATGGATCAAACAACTCACCCTCCCGACCGCGTGCAATCATCCACCGCACCCAGTCGACAAGGTTCCCACCGCCATCTTCCACCTCTTTCCCTGTAGGTGGCCGTCCAGTGAGCACCTCCAGCATGACTACGCCAAAGCTGTAGACATCTCCCTCATGGTAGATTCCATAATCAGCGCATATTCTGGGGAATGTAACCAAAAGCGTGCAGAGAGGCGGTGGTGCTAACATGGGTGTCATAGGCACTGATTATCCTTGCAAGGCCAAAGTCAGAGATCCTCGGCTCCATGTTCTCATCCAATAGAATGTTGCTTGACTTCATGTCCCGATGGATGATATGGGGCACAAAGCCATGGTGGAGGAACATGAGTCCATTAGCAGAACCGAGGCAGATCCTGAGGCGTTCACGCCATCCAATTGTTTCAGGTGTATTTTCATGGTTCCTCAGCCACGTCTCAAGGCTCCCATGATGCATGTATTCATAGATCAGGAAACGCTCATCACCACGAGCGCAGTAGCCAACTAGGGGAACAAGGTTATGATGCTTCACCTTTCCAATGGTCTCCATCTCAGCAAGGAATTGACGGTCACCAAGGAACTGGTAGCTACCATGAAGCCTCTTGATAGCGACCCTCTGTCCTTCAGGGAATGCTGCTTCATAGACAGTCCCAAACCCACCATGGCCTATGATGTGCACCTCGCTGAAATTATTGGTAGCTTTCAGGATATCATCCATGGTAACCCTCAGCAGTCCATGCTCAAATGTAGAAAGATTGATGCTCAGAGGTTCCCTTGACTTTTTTCCTAGGAGCTCTTTACTGGAGGTTGGCTCAAGCTCAATTGTAGCCTTGGATTCACTGGCAGATACAAGAGGTAATGACCTGTTTGTCAACATCATCCATGTCACAAAAACCACAAGAAGAACCACAATGAGAATGGCGCCACTAATGATCAGTGCTATTACAACTCCATGAGGTATATGAACCTCCACATGATTGGTACTGGTACTATTAGCAGCACAAATGCCTGATGCTGCACAATCTGAGAAGCTACGCATGCCAATAATTTTACCAGAGAAATCGACAAACGTAATGTTAGATAGATTGCACATACCACAAGGGATGGCACCACTGAAATCATTCTTTGAGACATCAAGGTAGTACAAACTGAGATTGGACAGTGCTGCTGGCAAGCTCCCGTTGAGGCTATTGTTGTGGATATCAAGAGAAGACAAATGTGCAAAATTTAAGATAGATCCATCTAGGCTCCCTGAGAAATGGTTACTGCTTGCATTGAACAAGATCAGTTGGCTCGATGATCCTTCAAACCCAGTACAAGATGACGGGATTTTACCAGAGAGGTTGTTGTTACTGACATCCAGAAGGTTCAGGGTCTTGCTGCATAGTAGAGATTGGGGTAGGGTAGCCCCAAATGCATTACAGGACAAGTTTAGAACCACGATGTTGGGAAGGATGCGACCTATCTCAGCAGGAATATTGCCAGTGAGGTGGTTATTAGACAGAAAAAGGCCTTGCAGATTGACCAATGGTGTGGACCAAGGAAGCATAGGTCCAACCAATTCATTAAAAGAGAGATCAACGGTCATAAGATTCTTCTTCACTCAGCAAGCTCCACAGGAATAGATTCATTCAGCAAGTTAACTTGCAGGTGTAGCTCCTCCAGAATAACACAATTCTTGATTCCTGGTGGGATACGATCAGTCAACGGTTGTATGACAGATCAAGTAAGCCATGATATTGAACATACTCTGATTCAGGGTGAGATGGATTCGTGAATCCCCCACATATCTCAGCAGGAATGGAACCAGAGAGTTGGTTGTGAGACAAAACCAAGCCAGTGAGTGAAGTCAATTGAGATATGGATCTCGAGATGGTTCCGTTCAGATTATTAGAGCTCAGGTTTAGCTTGACTAGGTTTCTGCAGTTGAAGAGCTCTTGCGGGATGTTCCCAGATAGTCTATTCCCATCAAGACAAATTTCATTCAAATTCTTTAGAGCACCTATCGCCGGCGGGATTGGTCCTTCCAAGCAGTTACTGCTCATCCGCAACCTCTGCAAGCCGCGGAGCTCACCAATGCTCTCAGGAATACAGCCAGTGAGCTTATTATAGCTGAGATCTATCTCCAAAATTGTTGATGAATTAAACAACTTGGCAGGCAAGGCTCCTGTAAAATTGTTGTAGCGCAATTGCAGAATTGTGAGCGGTAACTCAGCCAAGTATTCTGGTATCTCACCATGGAAATGGTTGCCTTGCAAATTCAGTTGAGTAAGGTTCCTGCACCTCATAAATGTCTCCTTGATACTCCCTGTCAGATTGTTAAAATTCAAGTCGAGTGACTGAAGCGAGTTGGCTTGACATATGCCAGGAGGTATAGAACCATTGAACTTGTTATTTCCCAGTCTTATAGATACAACATTTCCCCAGTTTTGAATCCAATCAGCAATATGACCTGACAGATTGTTACCTTCCACCTCAAAACGGACAATAGCTTCTAAACCTGCAAGTTCTTTGGGCATACAACCAGTGAAGGCATTGAAGGACAGACGCAGGTGAGTAAGCTTCTTGCAGTTACCAAGTTCTTCTGGTATGCTGCCTATGAGCTTTGCTCTCATTGCAACCAGGACAGTCAGATTTCCCAGCTCACCAATAGATGCTGGGAGTTCTGAATTGAAGTTGTTATCTGATATATCAAATTCCTGTAGGCTTTTAAGACCACCAATTGACCAAGGGATGGTGCCTGATAAGTTGCATTTAGAGAGAATGAGTTTTCTTAGCTTCTTCAGGTTACCAATCTCCTTTGGAATGCTTCCAGTGAAATTGTTGGACCCCAGAACCAAGCTCTCTAGATTTTCCAGGCGAGAAATCTCCTTAGGTATTGGCCCCGCCAAAAAATTTGAAGATAATTCAAGTGTCAGCAGGTTCAACAATGTGCTTATTCCTGGAAATATTGATCCAGTGAGCTGATTCTTGCTTGCATCAAGGTAGAAGAGCTGAGACAGGTTGCCTAATGCTTCTGGTATTGATCCATTGAAGCAGTTCTGGTGAAAGTCCAGGACCTCTAGGTCCTTCAGACTGCCCATCTCTTGAGGAAGTTGTCCAGAGATGTTGTTCTTGGATATGGTTAACTTAGCGAGTTGCTGAAGCTTAGCAATGGCAGGGATCAATTGTCCAGACAAGCTGTTTCTGTCTAACAGTATTTCTTTCAGCATCTTCAAATCATATAATGTGTAAGGCACGATCCCAGTAAGCTGGTTGCTGCTCAAGTCCAGGTACTGGAGATGCGTCAAATTTCCCAAGGCTTCTGGAATCTCACCGAATAAATCACACCTACTTAAGTTGAGACGAACAAGTGACTGGAATGCCGTGATGCATAATGGGAAAGGAACATGGAGCGGCATATATGACAAATCAATGGCTGCAACAGCATTGTCCACACAAGTGATATGTGACCACATGCATGGAGGAGTTTCTGTATCGAACCAGTCCCAAAGGAATTGCTTTGATTCAACGAGTTCATCCTTCAGAGCATATAGATTCTTTATATCAGATCCAGCAAAAGCAGTGACGAAGCAGGCAAATAGGATGAACAAGCTGAATGTATCCTGCCAAAAGGAAAGAAAATGTTAAAACAAAAGTTGTGGATGTTCAGGTGGTCTCGAAATAATTGTGCAGGTAACACAGTTCTGAAAAATATCAATGCCGCCAACCAATGAAGAACACATGCATGCTGAGCCTCGTGCGAAGCAGGGTATATATGATTCGTGGTTTGAGAAAGGAGCTTTGATGGGCTGGTATAGACATGCTAAATTAGTAGAGTAACGGACAACCATTCTACTCTGCAACTTTACCAAGGAGATAAAAAAGGAAAGGAAAAGTTTGCTTATGACCGAGGACCACTCAACTGTAAAATCGGTGTTTTAACCAGCCAAATTTGCCGACGTGATCGGCGCCGCAGCACCAGCACCGACTCGCCCGCGACGTCGCATCGACGAAGCAGGCCACAGCCCGCGCCTCTCTCTGTTCCACATCCACCCCCAATTTCACCTCGACACCGCTAGAAAGGACCCATGAAGGCCGGGAGGCAGCAAAACGGGGCAGTCGCTGAGCTGGGAAAGGGCAGTGTAATGGATGGGACGGCGCAAGAGAAGCTGCAGCTGTGGCCGCCGGAGGCCGGAGCGCCGCGGCCGCGGCGGCAGCGGCGACTAGGTTCCATAGCGGCATGGCGTTACTCGTCGCGTTTGGCCTTGGCCCCCTATCTATCCTGCCGTTTGGCAGTTTGGCACTTCGGCTATGGATTGGTTTTCTTTCTGAAAGGTCTATGGAGTGATTTTTACCCAGATTTTGCGAGTGATTTTTACCCAGATTTTTTTCTGGAGGAGCGATGGTGGTAGGAAACAGAAAAAAGACATTTGAACAACATTAACAAAGTCGGTGCATATTTGTGTCACAGCGAGCTATAATAACTGTTACCGTGTTATATATCAGACAAAAGTATCACCCCTAAGGCTGTTTGGAACGTAGAAATTTTTATAAAAATCATGTAGAAATTTTTAAAAAAATCATGCAGAAATTTCACAGGAAAAACACAGAAACGGAAACATTTTCCTGCAATCCAAACATGCCCTTATTCTTTTTCTTACACAAATGTTCTTTGCAACTCAAAATTTACATGAAGTTATATTTACCTATACGTACTTTTGTTGTGATTGATGTGTATTTTTGGAAGCTCAAATTTTTACATGAAGGTATACTTTTTATCTATACATCCATACTTCCACTACTAAAAAAAATAACCGAGGCGTTTGGCAAAGAGGCTCAGAGGCGGGCAGGCTTTTGAACCGCCTCGGTTAATGCCTGGTGATCATTTTTATTAACCGAGGCGGCCATAATTAACCGCCTCGCAAAATCGATTTCCTGAGGCGGTCCTAAAATCTATTTACGGAGGCCCAAAAATGCCTCCATTTTCGGATGCGGACCACTTATAAGGCCCACCTCCCTTAATGTACCTGAGCTCGCTCACAATCCATATCGGCCCATCTTGGCCCAACAGCGGGGTCATAGCCCATCTCTAATCCCTCACTCATCTCTCTCTCACACATCGCCTCCCTTCCCTCACCCAAGCAGATCTCGAGCGCCTCCATCTCCCGTGCCTCCCTCCCTCTCCCTCTCCCTCACCCTCACCCGAGTGGGTCTCGAGGGCGGGGGGACGAGCACACGGGGCTGGGCAGCCAGCGGCGCTGACCTCATGGCACGCACGCAGCCCGGTGTGCGGCCTCGAGGGCCCGTGGCGTCTTGAGCCGCCCCTCCTCCTTCGCATCGGCGCCCCTCCTCCCCCACATAGCCGATCTTTTGGTGGAGCGGGCGGATCTGGCCGCCTGTGCTCCCCCAGCAGCGGATCTGCTTCTGGAGGCACGGATCCGGTGGTGGAGCGGCTGGATTTGGCCGCCCATGCTCACCTGGCGGTGGATCTGGTTCTAGAGGTGCAGATCCGGTGGTGGTGCGACCGGATCCGTAGCGAGGAGGCGTGGCGCTGGGTCGGCCCTTCTCCGTGGTGGCGGGTCTTGAAATCCGGCGAGCGGTGGCGATACGCACATCCCGGCGGCCCGTGGATTGGCTCATTGGGCTTGTCCACGGGTTTTCATTTTTTTTATTTGATTAACCGAGGCGGGCGACCAACCGCCTCCGTTAAGGCCAGATTAATCGTGACCTTTTCGCGGAGGCGGATGGGATGCCGCCTCGGTTACTCATTTTTGCCCGCCTCGGCTAAGTTTTTCTGTAGTAGTGTTCAGTTGTCATTGTTGCGTATTTTGGGTGCGTTGTTGTGGTTGCTAACATGGCGGATCTATATAGGCCGTTGCAGGTGTAGACACATCCAGGCTCAACTCAAGCCAAAATCAACTATCGCTCTCGCTTTTTCCAATATATATTTCAACTAGCAGCTATAGTTATATAGTGTTGCATCCACTTTTTTCTCTCTAGCTCCGCCCCTAGGAACACGGTCGCATAATAACAAGGGAGATGTTCTCTTAATGAAGTACCACTACAAGCACTTCTCTGGATCCTAAACATAAGCAATAACATCTAGTATTATGCTATAGCTAGTCATATCTACGAAGATATGTCATCATAAATAAAAATACTACATAGAAGTGTTCTATGCGATACGTACAATACAAGATACTTGGATATGGGTGCTTAATTAGGGGGGAAATGCTACTACACCATTAACCACTTGTAAAAAAACGTTAATCCTTCCAATGCAATTGGTGCTTAAATAACTTAATACATTACTAACATTCTTAAGCATCTTATCATATGCAAATGACAGAGAGCAAAAATTCTTCTTTTAAAGACCCCATTGTACATGCTTATAAGGAATCTAACATTATGAACTTGACGTTCTCAACCTAAATAAAGTTTTTAGATATTGACTATCAAAACTGAAAAAGTTAACTTCGGATAAATCCAGACATATTTATATTTATAATCGCAAAAAAAATAAAGCAATAGTTGTCAACTTATTAACTAAATATGAACAGCCAAACAATCAAGGAAGTATGTTAAACTCAATACCTTGAGAGCCATGATTGTCTCCTCTGAGCGTAACAGCAACTCGAACTTCAGTAGTAGGATATCAGCAACGAACTTCAATAGTACTCACAATGGTGTACCACAAGAGTAGGATGGTAGAATGGTGTACCGCAAGATGGTCCTGTAGTAATAAAGGGAAAAGATAGTGCATTTATGAGTGGTAAATCTTTGCTAATAAAATAAGTAAGGTAATCAAAGCTCCACAATTCTACCATTACAAATCTGATGATAAACATCACACTCCAATAATCCATAACAATACAAATGAACGAAAATCAACACATCCAACATATAGGCGTACGGATCAACAAAAAGAGCAGTTTCCATGAGGGAGAGAAACACAATAAACTACCTAAACTTCGGATATCTAGACTTGTAAGATAATCAAAGCTCCGCGATTTTAACGTTACAAAAGAGGTAATAAACATCCGCACGTACCGTCATCCATTACAGCACAAATGAACTGAAAAAACCGCACATTTAGAACTCTTTCAGAACACAGGATTTTCATAGAAATCATGTAGGGATCTCACATGATTCAATTCAATTTTACAGATTCAGAAAACTTTCCTACGTTCCAAAAGAGGCCTCGGCGAAGGCATAACTTGAATTATTCAAAAAGCTCTCCGAGTGAAAGAAAATGACACTATGACACTACACTAACCCATAACAATACAAATGAATGAAAATCCGCACATCCAAAATATAGGTGTTGGATCAACAAAAAGAGCAGTTTCCACGAGGGATAGGAACACAATAAACTACCTAAACCTTGGATATCTAGAAATGTAAGATAATCAAAGCTCCACGATTTTACCATTACAAAAGAGGTAATAAAGATCCACACGTACGGTCGCCCGTTACGACACAAATGAACCGGAAAAAACGCGTGTTCAAAACTCTTTTGGAACGCGAGATTTTCACAGAAACCAAATGAACGAAAATCCGTGCATCCAAAATATAGGCGTATGGATCAACAAAAAGAGCAGTTTCCACAAGGGATAGGAACACAATAAACTACCTAAACCTTGGATATCTAGAAATGTAAGATAATCCAAGCTCCACGATTTTACCATTACAAAAGAGGTAATAAAGATCCGCACGTACGGTCGCCTGTTACGACACAAATGAACTGAAAAAAACGCGCGTTCAAAACTCTTTTGGAACGCGAGATTTTCACAGAAACCATGCAGAAATTTTACAGGATTTAGTTCAATTTTTACAGATTCTGAAAACTTTCCTACGTTCCAAAAGAGGCCTCTGTGAAGGCATAACTTGGATTATTCAAAAAGCTCTCCGAGTGAAAGAAAATGACACTATAACACTACACTAACCCATAACAATACAAATGAACGAAAATCCACACATCCAAAATATAGGCGTATGGATCAACAAAAAGAGCAGTTTCCACAAGGGATAGGAACACAATAAACTACCTAAACCTCGGATATCTAGAAATGTAAGATAATCAAAGCTCCACGATTTAACCATTACAAAAGAGGTAATAAAGATCTGCAAGTATGGTTGCCCGTTACGACACAAATGAACTGAAAAAAAAAACCCGCCACGTTTAAAACCCTTTTGGAACACGAGATTTTCACAGAAACCATACAGGAATTTTACAGGATTTAGTTCAATTTTTACAGATTCAGGAAACTTTCCTGCATTCCAAAAGAGTTTTCTGTGAAAGCATAACTTGGATTATTCAAAGCTCCCCAAGTGAAAGAAACACATCAAACCTAGCCAAAGCTCCATGATTCTACCGCCACAAAAGAGGTCATAAGCATCACCATATCGTAGCATATTACACTACGAATGAACAGAAAAAAAAACACATGTCTTGGAAAATCTTGGATCGAACAGGAGAGGTAACGTGTGTTCTTAGAAAGGTAGTAGCGTGCATGCTATGGCGCAATGGAAAAAAGAAGAAGGAAAGAAACCGTGCAACAGATCTAGATAGCTAGACTGCGAAAGCTCCCTCCAACGGATCCGAGGATCCAACAGAGTGGCACCTCAGATATCTCTAGCTAAAAGTACTAGCTAGCAATAATCAAAGCTTGATCCCTTGCATGCATCTGTAACCTCGTGCAAGTAGTTCATGTACAACGATTACACTGGCTGTGTGTGCATCGTCGTTAGATCGCTGAGGCGTCCATTCTAGTATTTAAAAAAAAAACGTGTAGAATTGTCTCTGCAGTTTTCCAACGTTAGTTCACACTACATGTTCATCGACCGGATTTTCACTCCAAAACGAGAAAAAGACCATGTTCCTACGTACACAGTGCAACACTACTGAAGCAAGAAGAGCAGCGCAGCACAATACCAGGAAATGGAATGGGCGGCGGGATGATGACCTCTCTCTCTCTTCTCTCCGTTGGTCGTCAGCCTCTGTCTCACCGGCGTCGGTGAAGCAGAGAGCGAGGGGAGAACGGAGGAGTGAGGAGAGCGTAGGGATTTTTTTTTAGCAAAAGGAGAGCACAGGGATTGAACTCCTGGTTTTGCTGTGTATTTATATGGGCCCTCCCCTCCCCCCACCACCACCTCATTTATCCTTTTTTGTTGTTGCTGGGAAGTTTCGTTCGACTTTCCTTTTTTTGAGAATTTCGTTCGACTTTCATGGAAATACTTTA